GAGGCCGACAGACAGGGGCCAGCAGCTACATTTAGACACGGCTCAGCCCTCCTGGTGCAGCGCAGGGGGGACGGGACGGGGACACGGTCCTGCTCTGACGTGGGCAGTGGCGTGGCCCCTATAATAACGCTGTGCCCTGGCTGGGGCTCTGCGTCTCCCCGTCAGCTTCAGAGATGAGTCTCCCCGTCCCCACCGTGGGGTTTGGGGGGGTAAAACCGGGGCCGGGGCACGTCCTGGTGCGGGGGCTCTGACCTCTGAAAAAAAGGGTCGGCGCCAGCGCTGGTGTTGCTGGCCCGTGGGGCGTGGGGAGCAGCGGCTCCGTGATAAGTGCGTTCCGGCCCCGTCCCCGTCCCCCACTGCCCTGGGGTGCGATATCCACCTCACCGAGAGCTGTCTTTTTTGCTTTCAGGAATAAGTACTCGGCTCCCGGCAGCGTCGCCGTCATGGGGAAGGACTACTACAAGATTTTGGGCATCCAGTCCTGCGCCAACGAGGATGAAATCAAGAAAGCCTACCGGAAAATGGCCCTGAAGTATCACCCCGATAAGAATAAAGACCCCAGCGCCGAGGAGAAGTTCAAGGAGATTGCGGAGGCTTACGATGTCCTGAGCGACCCCAAGAAACGAGCCGTTTACGACCAGACGGGGAGGAAGGTAAGGGGGTGAGCACTGCCTGCCTGGGGGTGGAGTGTGGGGTCCAAATCAGTTTTCATGGGCAAGGGAGCGTTTTCGCACAGGGGTGTCCCTACGTTCCATGCCTGTCCCCAAAACGGGGCTGGCAGCGGCAAAACTGGGAAGCGAGGGCTCTGTGGGTGTCTGAAATCATCTCTTGTCCCGCTCCTCTCAGGAGTGCTCTGCTTTTCCAACACATCACCCTGCTTCTCAGCATGACCAGGCTCTCCCTGCCCTCCACCCCAGCCCCAGAGCTGGCCAAGATGATAGAAGTGAAAGGAGCTCACATCCTGGCTCATACCTCGAGTAATTCGTTAGCAACCCTTTAATTGACCTAAATATCCCAGCAGAGAAGTACTGCTTTTGCCTACATACTCCCTCCAGGCATTTGGGCACTGGTCCAACTGTCCTTCCCGGTACAGGCTGACCTACAGGATTCAAAGCTTTTCCCAATTTAAGTCATAGGTCCTTGTTTTGAAACCAAGGGGCTGCTGTTGTCTGGTGTTTGGCACGGGGAGGAGGAGGAGGAGGAGGAGGAGGAGGAGAAGAGCCGCTCCACCACAGGCGGCCTTATTAGTCGAAGATAGAAGAGCGCAACCCCATTCGAGGAGAGCGCCGAATAGCATCTGCATTAATCAGCCCAGGGCCATGGGTGCTTAAAAGCACAGGAGGGCTGGCAGGAGCGGGCTGCTGGGGGGAAAGAGGCAGCCCCTTTCAGGCAGGTGCATCCCCTAACCAGCCCCTGGCGGTGGGTTAACTCTCGACCCGTTAGTTATTTCAGGGCTGCGATGTATGCAGTGATTCGCCGCCCGGTAAAACGAGACGGGACTGTCTCAAGTGGGAAAGCAGCCTTTCCCCGGAGGCAGTGCCGAAATCAGACCCTGCTCGGGCTGGCGTCACGGAATTGAAGGTGAAACCTCCTGGCTGTACAGTCTGTTAGGGACGGGGGTCACCGACGGCACCTAAAGTCAGAGTTAAGGAGGGAGGAAAGAACATCCCCCTCCTTGCCCTGTCAGTGTCAAACCAGTCATGGTCCATGGCCTCCCACACTTTTCACTTCCCATCAGATGCCATTTTTTGGAGCAACGTGACTTGAGGATCACCATTTTGAGGGGCTTCGTGGTCCTACACACTGCGGAGGGCAAGGTGAAGCACAGCCCCCCGACCCACCCAGACTATCAACTTCATCAGCCAGAAAAGACCCCCCAAACTTGCCAGCTCTGTGGTTGTCCCCCTCCTATCTCTTGTCCGTGGGGGGCTGGCGTGAGCCTGTCAGAAATAGCCCTTCTCCGTCACCAGCGTGCCCTGAAAATAGTCCTGGAGCTAGACTTGGCTTAACCCTTCCCACCCCTCCTGGTCAAAAATAGCCTTGCAGAGCGTGTGTTACCTCTTTGGGGGCCACTTCTCGTCTGCCTTGACTGATTGGGACTTTGGGGGACTCACAGTGACGTCAGGCTCAGCCCAGGACCTGGCAGGGGTGTTTTCCATGGGAATGGTTGCCGAAAGAGCCAAACCTGGAGCTTTCCTTTGTTTGGTGTGGTCTGTATGTAGGGAGCTGTGTGCTGACCTCCACCTGCTCTGCCCCCAAGAGTCACGGTGCCTCGTGGAGCTCAGAGCCTGCTCTTCTCCTGCGGGACGTGATGCTCCTGGGCTGCGGCAGAAGGGAGCCTGCCCATGGGGAAGCATGGAGACGGCCTGGTTAGGAGATGTTTTGAGTGAAAAAGCCATGAATTGGGTAGAGAAAACCAAAGAAGCGCTTCAGCAGGGATAGCAGGGACAAAACCTGAATGGATTTTGTAGGATGTAGGGGTGTAGTGGCAAGGCCTTGTGTTGTGGGTTGAGGTGCTGCCTTCTTGGCCCACGCTCTCTGCAAGTGGAGGGGGTGACCTGAGGTGCTGGAGGGGCCACCTGAACCAGCAGAGGCCACGCTCCCGCCTGGAAAACGCGGTCCCACCGCAGCGTCTGCCGGCGGGGAGCGCTCACGTCTCGGGTTCCCTCTTCTCTCGCAGGTCTCAAAACTGGAGGTGGCTCCTCAGGCGGCTCAGGGAACACTTTCCACTACACCTTCCATGGAGACCCCCATGCCACCTTCGCCTCCTTCTTCGGGGGCTCCAACCCCTTCGACATCTTCTTCGCCAGCAGCCGCTCCCGGATGTTCAACGGCTTCGACCA